TTTTTACTTGTTATCCTTGTATCTAGTAACCTTGTTAAACTTACTAGTTTTTTGAAGCTAGCTATCCATTTTTTTGTAGATAAAATTTCTCAGATTAAGAAAATTTCATTCTAATTGATAGTGAGCTTACCAAATGCCTTTGCTGCATCTTTTGAGATGATTGTATGCTTTCTCTTCTCTTCTTTTAATATGACAGAAAAAGCTATGATTGATTTTCCAATGTTAAAGCAATCTTGAGTATCTTGAATAAATCCAATTTTGTTGGGATACATTATCCTTTTTATACACTGCATGATTTGGTTTGCCAAAACGTTCTTCAGGAATTTTGAATCCAAGTTCATGAATGAGGCTGGCTTGCAGTTTTATTTTTTCCAGCTTCACTATTTATTTTTTCCAGCCCTCTGTAAGTGTAGATTTCTTTTTACTTTCCCTGCTTGAGTTTCACTGGGCTTCTTGAATCTGTGGGAAAATTCTACATGAAATCACTTCAAATGCTGTTTCTGCTCTATGATCCTCTCTCCTCTCCTTCTGAATCATCATATAGAAACTAGCCCTTTTCACTATATACAGTGTTACATGCCTTGTACAATCTTTTCTGAGTTCTCCAATCTTCTTCATGTTTCAGTCTGATTTCTTTCATTTCTATTACTAATTTTTTAAAATCTAGATAACACTGGCTTACAACATTATGTAACTTTCAGGCGCACAGCATATAATTCAGTGTCTGGGTCTGTCCCGTTGTGCTCACCGCTGCAAGTTCAGTGTCCACCCGTTGCTGCACAGCTGACCCCTTTGCCCATTCTGGATTCCTACTTGTGGCCCGCCGCACGGCACACTGATTCGCTCCCCAGCTGGCTATTATCTCACATACTGTTTTCTTAATTTTGATTACAAAATGTTTAGTTCCCAAATTTGTTTTCTTTCAAATATGCCATCGCTTAAAAAAAAACAACCAATGAATACTTATATTCTTGAACCCAGTCCGTGTGGTTCTGGAGACCCTGTTGGTCTGCTTTTATTGATTTTTTAATCCATGTTGCCTTGGCCTTTTACATGCCTAATTATATTTCTCTGTCAGACGGTGTATTTGAAAGTTATTTTGTTGAAGTAATGTGAGACTTAGGGGGACACTTGCTTCCTGTAGAGTGGATTTTCCATGTGCTTCTGTTGGGCACCAGGGAATATGAGCAATTCAAGATCACGTCCCTCTTTGCAGTGACAGGGGCTTCCCAGCCACCAGGTGACCGGAAGCAGAGCTGCAGTCTGTGCAGTGACTGGCATACTGCAGATGTCCCTCTGCTGGGACAGCCCTGCAAGTTGGGAACCCAGGTCTCGGGGCTTGGCCACCATCCCTAGCCTCCCACATTTCTTCCCTACCAGTTCTACAACGATGTCGTTCACCACTTTTGAGTCACCAATTGTACCCAGCCCCAAGTGCCATTTTCCACACCTTGGCACAGAGACTCCAAACAGCTTAGTTACAGGACCTCAGTTCCAGGTTGCGTTCTGTCTGCTTCACTAATGGTAACCAAGGGACAGGGGTTCTGAGTCACTGACACGGGTACTACTGTTGGGTCCACAACTATAGACAGGTTAAGTTTATCTTTAATTTCCTCAAAGATAAACAACACAGTTTTAGGATCTGTGACTAACATTTACAAGGCCCCGCAGTTCTAGTTTCTGCTCACTCTTACTTGTAATGACTAATTTACTTCTGTGCTTGCTTTCTGACTGTGGCTACTTGTTCTTGTAAAATGACTGGACACATTATCGAAGGCCTCGGATACAGCTGTCTTCTTTCAATGGGGACTTGCATTTGCTTCTGCCAGGTTCCTAGGGACGCCATCATCCATCAGGGACTACTTTAAACTCAACTCAGCATTCGAAGTAATACAGGGACACGCTGCCCCAGGGCTGAACTAGGGCTCCTCACTTCCGCCCCTGGCCCAGAGGGTTGTGCTGATGTCAGGGCAGGGTCTGGGGAAGAGAAAGCCCCCAGCAGATTTTCGACATGGGCAGCCCTTAGGCTTCTCCTTTTGTTGTCGCCCTCACGCAGCTGACAAACCATAACTCACACTTGCCAATCTGGCAAATGCTCTCACGGAATCCAGTTATAAGTACAACTTTCTCAATTCTTGCTTTTTTTTAAAGCTGGTCATTATTTAATTTCTTTTTGGCTGTTTGATGCTTTTAAAAAAGTTACTTTTCCAGCATTGTTGGATGTTTTTGTTTGCAGAGTGGGTGCACACCCTAGGATGCCGTATTTCCTTACAAAAGTGGCTTTGGTTTGCTAACAAACTAGCAGGTGCAACAAAGTCTACAAACTTTTCATTTCTGAACAGACTCACAGAACTCAGAACAACACCAGGACCCGGTGCCCTGACCGCCTCCATCCCAGGTGTGCTCCCACGCATCACGGTCTCACCCCTGTGCTCGAGAGCAGGCCTCTGACCTTCCTAAAAATCCCGAGGAAACCTTGTCCAAAACAGCAGACACACCGTGTGCTGAGGTCTAAGTTATAGGATAAGCCCTCCAGCTTCCATCTCTCATCCTGCCTCTGGGAGGGCTTGCCCGTGCCCACTCTGGCCACCCCCAGGCCGCCCCCAAACCCCTCACTGGGGACTTGGCTTTAGCTCTAATCATTTTGTTACTCCAGGCAGTTTTCCAAACAAAAAGAAATGGCTATTTACAATGCCTAGACCGAAATCGTAAATATCACCAGCGAAATTACCCTGAACTGTCAGTACAACTCTACAAACGGGGTTGCACAGAAAGGGAGCCTGCCTCCGCTAGGTAAAGCCTTCACAAAAGCCGGAGCAGGGTCTTACTGGCGGCTCCCGCGGGCTGGCAGAGGCCCTGCAGTGTGCGCTTCACAGCAACTTCCTGACAGGGACCGTGTGGACCGGGAGCCAGACCTCACTCTCCCCCCAAACTGTAAGGACTCAGTGGTACTGCAGTGAGTTGCCCCTTTGTAAGTGAAATAACTTTACTTCAATCTTTATAATGAATACCTTTCTTATAAAGATCACTTTACTTTTTCCTAAAAAATTCTGATTACTTCAATCTAAAACAGTATCTATGACAGAAGGTGCACAGGGTGTTATTTGCAAGCAACTGCCTTTACTTCAAAGTATACTTACCCTTTATAAAAACAAGAAATGATCAATATGTACTAATTTTAAAATAATTACAGAGGTTTCTCCAAGGCACCTCAAACCTCCGAACCCCACACAGCGCAAGCCCCACATCGACGGGCCCCCCCCAAGCTCCGTCACTCGGAGGGGCCGCACTGGGCAGAGCAGAGGCTGTGGTCCCGCCACAGGGCCACAGCGAGCACCTGCTCGGCTCCACAGGGGGCAGTGCTGAGCACCACCTTGTCATCGGGTTGGTCATGATTCACCCCTGAGGCACAGGCCCTGACCAGACCCAGACCAGCAGCGGTGTCACCAGGAAACCTGCTAGAAATACAGATGCTCAGGACCCACTCCAGACCTGCTGAATCAGAAAGCCCGGCGGGGGGGGGGGGGGACCAGCAAGCTGCATGGTCCAGAGTCCTCCAGGTGATGCAGAATGGAGTCTGGGGCTCCCCTCCAGAGACACTCTCGTTCACGTGCTCTGACCCGGGGCTGTGCGAGCAGTAACGTCTCCAGTCCCTCCCCCGCCACACACACACACACACACACACAAACACACACACACACACATGCACATCCAAGTCTTGAAAACAAATGTTCACTGCCAGGAGAATGGATAAAAAACTATAGAATTAACACAATCAAGAATCCACTGTACAACAGAGAAAATAACTGAAAAACAGCTACATTTATAAGCTTAAATGAAACTCAGAACCATCATTTTGAATGTTATAATAGTATACTCTAGACTTTTTCTAGAGTATACTATTTTATAAGTCAAATACAAGCAGAACTAAATCACACAGAGGTAGGCAAAAGTAGGTTTACAGTTGTGAGTACTCATATTATTATTTATTAATACTGTAGTATTTATTTGCATTACAACTGCAAACTTACTTTTGCCCACCCCTTTGTATTATTTAACAATATGCTTATGTAATAAAGCAATAAAACTATTTTTAAGAAACAAAGAGGAGCCGCCCCTCTACTCCTGTGCAGTGTCTGCGCAGAGGGAGGCAGGGCAGGGCCGCGCTGGGGGCGGGCAGTCCACGGCAGGGCCTCGTGTTTGTTACTCTTATGGCTACAGTCTTTCTTATGTATAAAATGTGATGTAGTAAATTTTAAACCCAGAAAATAATTTTTAAAATGTGGGTAATATACAAATAATTTTCCCCGAACAGGAAAATTAGAAGAGATGCAAATTGTGTAAACTGTGATTCATTCTTCAGAAAAAAAAAATTTTTAAGTTGTGAGAAATTATTTATGATAAAATTAGATAACATGTAAAAAATGTACAATAAAAGGATTAGAAAAATACAATAAAATGTCAACAGTGGACATTACAGGGAATTTGATTTCTTCTTTGTATATTTAAAATTTTCTACAGTGAATAATCAAGACTTGAAGTTATTAAGAATTTTTTAAACTGTCTTTGAAACATTTGATGACTCTAAATCATTAAAGAAAACTGCCAAATCTATTATTGGAAAAAGGAAGAAAATTGGTGTTTTGAGAAAATCTGTGATTTATGGGCTTTATGACTCAAAGCATTATATTTTCTGCCATAAAAGCGTTATATATCTTTATCGGTATGATTCCATTTAAAATAATTTCATTTTGTTTGTGCGGAGAAAAATATGACTGAGAAAACCATGACCTAAAGAACATATTTTTGTTACTTCAATTAAAACAACTGAAAACAAGTTCAATTTAATTAAGAACAAAAGGACACCATCCATCAACACCGACCGGCTTTGGGAACAGGGAAGAAAGGCGCACACTGGCCTCTGCCCGGGAGCCCCGCGTCCCGTCGGGAGGACAGACAAGCTCAGAGACAGCGGCCAGGGGCTGAGGTTAGTGACGTACCTCCTTCTCCAGGATTCTAGCGACCTCTCCCAGGGTGCGGTCTAAAGCAGAAACCTTAGTGTTTGCCCACGACCCACTGTCTTGTACTTGCAGTTGTTTTAGAAGGTCTTTGGCTAACCGCTGAAGCCTTCAATACAAAATTAAATGGAAAGGAGTGAGTGAAAGAGAATGAGGATGTTCACAAATTAGACTAGCACACTGCATTTTCCCAAACTTTCTGGAACAAAATTACTTCCGTTATTGTATTAGACACGGCCCCAGAGCACCCAAGGGGAAGGAAAGCCAGCCCCCACAAGGCTTTCTTTCTATTCATGAGCCACATGGATGCTTGTGGCACCAAACACAAGCGGAGGACGGTGCTGTCCCCACACACATTAGGGGAGCGGCTGCTGTGGTCAGTTCCCGTGTGACAGTCAAACCAGAACCAGACTGGAGACAGGCAGATGAACGCATGATGGCAGAGAAATGAGTACAAGAGCCTGAGCAGGTTTTCATCTAAATCTTCACTATGTTACAAGCACTGCAAACTCTTGATGTCAAACTCCGCGTGTTCCAATTTACAAGCAATGTGGGACTGCCCGACACTGCCCATGTCATTTACCTAGACGATCGAGCAATCATCTGCTTTTCACCAAGAAATATTACATGTGACCTAGACTGCGGAGGTCTTTATTCAGGAAGGGGCTGTGTATCTTTTTGCAGCCCTTCCTCTTCTGTTGCTCTGTGAGCAAGCCTTTCCTTTCCACTAACTCGCTTCAGCATCTTGCCCTCACACACCCAGGGGACCCTCAAGCCAGGTCTCCCCAGGGCTGACGCAACAGCACTGCAGTCTCCCCTTCACCTTCGCCTGTGATGGATGGACTCCACGGGCCGGCCTGTCATCACCTACTTGCCGTCTTATTGCTTCTGCAGCCACCCCAGTGGGGAGGGTCACCAGTGCCTCTTCAGCTCGTACTGGGGGGCTGGGCATCCTCCCCAGGGCATTGCTCCCACTGATTTTTTTAGCTGGGTTGGTAGACACTGGCCAGCCTCCCATTCCTGGTCCTGAGGAGAAGCCACGCCATGCTGCAGAAGCCAGACCGTGAGCCCGGATCTCAGGTGTCTGCCAGGCTGCACCTGCCCACTCTCCACAAAGACAGCCCCCCACATTCTGCAGTCTCTCCCCACCCACCCTTGCACTGTCCCTCCTGCTTTTCTACCAAGACCTTCCGTTTCACAGAGAAATGGAAGCTACTGCCATCAACAACAAAATCCTCCTTTCTGCCATAAATCTGCAAGACTCTCTGCATCTCACCCACACTCTCCTGTCTCTGCTGTTGCAGTCGAGGAGGGTGGATTCCTCCCGTGCGGGCTGGAGCATCCCACAGCCTCTGCAGGCCTCGCGGTCCTTCCACACCTACACCCTCTCTTCCTCCTGCTTCAGTGTCTTACCAGATGCTCCCCATTCATGTCTTCTCAAGTGCCTCCCCCACCTCCTCGGTCTTTGGAAGATTCCTACTTATCCCCAAGCGCTGAGCTTAAACGTGACTTTCTCTGCTGGGACTAGCCCTGGAAACCACTCATCCTGAGTCTCTCCCACACAGAGCTGTACAGCAGAACACCCTGCAACAGGGGCAGTTCTGCATCTGGACCGTCCACCGTGGTGGCTGCTGAGCACTTGAAATACAGTCACTGTGACCAGAAGGTACCATACTGGACAGTGAGATGGGCAGGATCACCTCGACAAGCGAGGCTCTAGGCCACTGCTCGCCGCCACACCCACAGTGCCCGGAGCACTCCACAGACCTTTAACGACAAATGGTCTGAGGGCGAGTTTCTTCTTTACATTCTTAATACCACCCACAACCACACAAGTTACAAAATGCGTTCCTGTACCTGATGGCATTTAAGCCTCTGAAAAACGGCTGTCCGTGAGTGTTAGCCCTGTTCGAAAAATAAAGAAACCAAGGCTCCAGCAGGTTAAGAGACTTTCCCCAAGTCTCACAAGTGGCACAAGCGTTACTGGGACTAGGAACCTGGACAGTCCGTCCTCAAATCTCAGGCTTTTTCTCTCTGTACCACATGAGTCAACCCAGAAACGGACAGTTATTCACAAATGAGTAATACCCTAAGATACAATTTCATCCATAAATGCATTTATGTAAAATTTTAAATTTCTCAAAAAAATACAACAGCAAATGCAGCTTAAAAAATATGCTGATGAACTCTGGGTTAGACCCAAGCTACCTAATATAAAGTCCCTTTGATGTGTGGAAGAACGAACACGAAACTCTCGGGCCCGAAACATCCAAGCCGGAAACCTGGCTGCAGCACAGAGCACGCGTGCGAGCCCTGGGAAGGTCATTCACCCAAACCCCAGTCTCCTCATCTAAAAAGTGGAGTTAATATACAGACTTTCCCTTCCAGAGCCTTTGAAGCTCACAGGCAATTAATGCAATGGGCCTCATTCGCTACAGCAGACATCTAATAAATGGTCAACTATTATTACTATTCATTGACAGAAGGTTCTCAGTCTAACAAAAGTGAAACGAGATGTAAAAAAAAAAAAAACTGAGTAAGAGCAACATACTTCTTTTCCCTTCCAACTGAATATGGGCTGGAGTCCCATCCGATTAAAGTTACTGACCTTATCATGGGGAGGAATATTGGCAGCAAACTTCACTGTGTGACAGACAAGCAGCCACTTCAGCTTTTGGCTGAACAAAGGCCGCACAGCATGTAACGAGATACCTGGCCTCGGCCGCGGATGCCGATGAATCCAGCAGTATTCTTACCAAGAATGCTCACAGTCCACTGAAAACCAGAGGTACTTAGGGAGGCACAAGGACCATTTTAACTCACAGAATACAAGAGGCTTGTATTTCACCGAGGTAAATCAAATCTAGGATTCATGGGAGCCTACCCTTCGAGGAAGAACGCCAAATCAAGGGGACGCGTAGGGAACACGAGCTAACCCTTTGCTTCACTCCCTGCCTGACCACCTCGAGAAAAAACTTCCTTGGATTTTGATGCATACATACTGTAAACAATTATTCTGAGGTCCTGAAAGCTGCACTTTCTCCACAAGGCACCAACAGGAGCAGTTTAAAGGGTGCAGTTGTTAACACAGAAATTGTTATCTGGATCACTTCTGCATGAAAAGAAAAAGCGGATGCTTTGTAACTCCTACCCTAAAATATGGTAAGTGTCCGCTGGGTAACTGGCTTTGTGGAGAATGTTGTGTGGTCAGATATTTTCTTCCCAAAAACTGAACAAACTCCACTGGCAACCCGGCATTCAAACCTGTTGGTGGTAACCATGAGATGCGAAAGCCTCTCTGAAAGGAACCCTGACCTCTGTCACAGGAACCCTGACCTCTGCTGGGATCACTGGGAAGATGTGGGAAAGGGTAAAAGCACAGGCTGGGTCCGCCTGGTGTGCTGGACAAACCTATTAACTTTCCTTTTTTGTCACCTCCTCCATTTCAAAGGTGCATGGTCTAAATTTAAGGCCACTGGTTTCCCTTCCATTTTCAAACAATATGCTCAAACCTGTATTTCTAAATGTAAGGTCTCAAGAAAACCCCATGTAAGGTGAAAACGTCGGTGCTCGGATTCGGCCTCCTGCACTGCACACTTCCATTCCCGTCTGACAGCAGCCCTGCTCCTCGGAAAGAACGCAACGCCCCACCCTGCCCCCCAGGCCGCTCACCGCACACTCAAGGGCTGCCCTGCACACGCTCGATGCTGTCAGGGTGCCACTCTCGGTAGGCAGGCTCAGGACGTGTGTATGTCACCTTGCAAATTGATATATTATATGCCACACATCTATCCCTACACATTTACATCTACATTTCTTTCCATTTATATTTCTATATGCTGGCAGTTACGAGTTAAAGTGATACCTGCAATTCCAGATCATCACTACACGGTGTCTCTACGGTCACTGGGTACCTTTAACTCCCTTCTCTGGCAGCGAGCAGCTCACCTAACACTGTCCTTAACACCTGACTGATGACCAGCCCAGACACCTCCCTGTCTCTGCTGCTCCCTCACTGCTCGGGTTCTACCTGTCCATTCTGGGCTCTCCCCTCCTCTCACCCCACATGGGTGTCGACACCCTGGCCCTCTTCACCTGGGCCCCTGTGCAGAGAGGCCTCCACACTGCTCTGACTTCCTGTGCCAGGAAGGGCCAGGCCATGTGCCTGCCCACACAGAGGCTCCCTTCACTCCATGGGGGCTCTGAGCCGCCACACTCAGCTCCCCCCAGCAATGTCCACCTCAGCCAACTGGGGCTCAGTAATCCCCCAGGGCCACTACTGCCTCCAGCCACCCCCAATGCAGGGATGTTCTTGTCTAACTGTGATAGTTGCTACATTAAAATGCTACGGCCTACCTATCAACAACTGTACGGTTATAGACAGCCCTCAATTTGTGGGATTTAAGTGTTTCTTGACCTTTGTCACCACTAAACATCACCTTTGCATATAAGTGTTTGGGTACGTTTTGCATGATTTTGCCCAACAGCATGAAGCCTCCAGGGCACATCCTACACCCCAGACTCACACCTCGAGACCACAGCAGCCTGCTCGTCATCACCAGCGGGGGAACCTGTCTGCTGCACTTGCTGGGCAGCGTGCTGGAGAGGAGCACACTGGGACATTTCCGTGTGCCTCTCGGTTCTGTCGTCATGGAGTCTAAGTCCTCACCTGTCAAAAGCAGCCATCACAACAGTTCGGAAAGATCTCCCCCAGCAAGACCAGCAGCCGTGCCAGAACCTGTCCTGTCAGCACACGTGACGCTCTGGGCACAGTGCTTCTCTGCTGGGGGGACTGTCCTGTGCCCTGAGGACTGTTTCACAGCACCCCTGGCCTCCCCGCCCTGCAGGGCAGTCGCACCGTCTCCCAAGCTGTGATAACCAAAGCGCCAGCCTCCGTCCCACATAGAGACAAACGTCCCCTGGAGAAACTGCCCTGAGGGGGACGGCACTGCATAAGGAGAATAAAGTCCTACGCAGCGGACACACAGCCCGTGATCACGGACACATGCGGATGGTTCAGACAGACTTTGCAGTAGGCAGGGACCAAGGAGATGGGGAACCAAAGTGCAAGATAAAATACTCACTTTGCTTTATACGGTGAGTCAGAGGCAGAATTTTTTGTTTCTGTTAAACTTTCATATTCTTTGGCCCTGAAGAGAAAAAGTTTAATCATTGTTAGTTATTTTGCTGCTAATTTTTATAACAAACAAAAAATCCTAGCTGTGTTTTTCCTTTTCCAAATTAGGAACATTAGTACACTGGTTTTAACACTTTGATTTCTGAGACCGCTTCTTTAAAACACCGTGAATGCTGCCCCAAAAGACTAAAAATGTGCCTTTCCTCATAGGAGAGAGAGCAGATTCATAAAAACACTTCTAAGTTTATAGACCTGGTGCAAAACAATGCTTATTTTTCAAAATGTTAAAATCGTAATTATTATATTTGAAACCATATTAAGTTTCTGCAAGGTAGTTCAGGTGGCTAAGTGTCTATGCACCTCAAAAGGTGTGTAATGTAAAATTAAATACAGGTAAAGAGTAATCATTAAACTTTATAAGTAATTTAAAAGGCAGTAGAAATAATTTGACCACTTAAAAGACGAGTTTTGTTTTGCTTTTGTTATTGCTACTGACTAAATTCCACATGACTGGAAAAACCTACGATAAACCCTTCCCGCCACTGCAGAGGCCCCTGCAGCCCGAAGCCATCAGGCCAACAGCCACCGACCCTCCGCCGTCTAACATGGGTGTCACCACCGCAACCCATCCATGCAACCTAATTTGTCAATCTCTCTTTTGGGGACAAGAAGGTAATTTAAACTGCTCATCCAAAAGGTTTTAGCCTCAAAGAATCAGTCCAGTTACCTATGAAAGAACTGGTCACAATATATACCAATCCAGACAAAAAGGACAGGTGAAAAAAATAAACTCCACTTCATAAAGCATGAAAGACATGAACTGCAACCAGCCTGATAAGGAAAAGGAAAGTAGCAGAGGCCATTCCTGGGAACAAAGGAACAACTGAACTAGAATGAAATATTACATGATATGTTATTTAAACCTCCACATGCTCAGGGCTACCAGTGAAATATTAAGACATATCAAAATGGGGAAATAACCACTTTGTAGTTGCAAGTCGCTCTGACCCCACAGGAGGGGCGGTGGAATGAGCCCCCAGCACTGTGCCGGGAGCTGCACAGTGACCGTCTCCCCCGGCCCTCGCAGCTCGACATGGCGTTATCGCCACCTTACAAAGGGGAAACGGGCTCAGGAAGACGTCTGTGGTAGTGACACACACGCTGTGTGCACCTTCCCGTGGAGACAGGGAAGGAGGTGAGAGCTGGCTGCGTGGACGGCTGTGGGGGGAAAATCTCTCAGCTCTGGAGGTTCTGAGAAAAGACAATGACATGCCCTGACTGACGTTTACTAGGCTCGCTGTGGCTACAGCGTGTAGACGAGGTGGGCATGGGCAGGAACAAGGAGACCAGCTGAGGGCTACGGTGACCACCAGGTGAGAGACCGGGTAGGTGGGGTCCCCAGGGGGCAGTGAAGCTCAACAGTCAAATGCTGGGCATATTTTAAGCAAAGCTGCCACTATTGGCAGTTGGGCTGGACGTGAGGTCAGCTCAGGGAAGAGAAGGGGTTGGGACGGGGAGGAAAGAGCAGAAGCTGGTCTGGTGCGCACCAAGTGTGAGTAAATCTGCAGCTATAAAATTGGTATGCAGAGGATATTCAAAGCCACACGACTGGGTTAGCCCACCAAGTGACTGTGCCCACAGAGGGGAAAAAAGTCCAAAGGACGGGCTCTGTGCTATTCCGGTGTCAGGAGTTCAGCAGATTCTTAGTGTAAACCAGAAACGAAGGCTTGTCACCCCCTGAAGTTCACCATGGAACTGTTTTTACAAACTTGGAGGGACACCCAAAAATACAACAAAAAAGCCTCTTGTATTCTTTGCTTCCATGACTGCTCTGAAGTTTTCACTGACTCTGAAAAATGATGACCAAACCCTTCTATTCACTGAAACTGGAAACTGCACAGAAGTGACTGCCATTCACTACCACTCTAAGTGCACGTGTCTGTATTCCCAAGGGTCCAGTGCCCCCACCTTTCAAGAGATTTGGGAGCAAAGGTATAACCACGTATCCAGACTACCTTCTCTCAACATATCTACGAAGGAGGAACTGCACTGTGTCCTCGGACGAGATTCATCCGTCATCAGGTGATGACAGAGTTTCTGAGGTCACGATGCGCCACGCAGCTGTCTGATCCTCGGATGTCACTTTGAGGCTGATGATAAACTACAGGTCTGACAACTCACTTTCCATTTCCAGATATTTCTTGAACTTTTTCTTGTTGTGACAGGCAAGCAAATTGATTAAAGCTAGTCATGGGATTTGACACTACAGCCAGCAGACTTCTATTTGTTGATTGCTATTGATTTTCTTTAATACTTCATTTAAAAATCAATAGTTGGAAAGAGAAATAGGCTTGGTTTACACACACTCAGACACACGACTGCATGCTGGAGGAGGCACAAGTTTGGCACAGCTTCTGCATCAAATTATAAGAAGAGCTCTTAGCAGGTGAAGGCAAGGGCTTTAGATCGATATGCAGTTTTCTTTCTCAATCAAAGAAAGTGGCTATAAATTAGGCTCATCAGTGTTACTTTCAAGGCTTTGTTGAAGTAAACAACTTTAAACTTTTTTGGGGGGGTGGAGGGTCTTCCTTGAATTTACATTAACAAGACTACATCACTGATAGTTCTGTTCTGTTTTTAAGGGTGTTTATGATACCTGGAGTTCATGCGGGCTTTTATCTTCCTGGCTTTTTTTTTGTTTTTTTGCCGCTCTTCTCCATCTTTCAGTGGCTCTGGCGGAGCTGCAGTTTCAACCACAATGTCAATGATGTACTTCTTTAAGGAAAGATGCTCCTGCAAGACAAGTAAAAGCAATGACGGAGATGGTGATGAGAAATCATGCGGCACCGCTACAGACAACAGCAGGTATAAAAGATCACACAGAGGCGGTAAACGTGACCTCTAGACACACTGGTTTCCGCTACTGCTCTGGATGCTACTGTTTTACTGGACACTTTCACTGACTCATCAAACCTTCAAGGCACATCAGCAAAGTGCTAACAACGCAAGCACACAGGCAGGAGGGGAGGCAGTCTGCAGACGCGGGTCTGCTCTGCAAGCGGCCAGTCAGCCAGAGCCGGAGGCTGCAGGAGGACTGGAGGGGGGATCGCTGTCCACTGAAGGGAAAGAGGAAAGAGGGCCCGTGTCTTTGATACCTGGAGTGCTCGCTATAAAAGAAAAGATGAGCATCCCCACTCCTAAAATATCGTTTCTCGTTAAAAACAGCCAAGGCTTCTTAGCAAAACAGCTATCATAAACCTAAACATCTTCCCATACCAAGTGCCAAGAAAACTATGAAAACCAGTTAGGCTCATGTCAAAAGGAACTGCAGAGTGAACTTCAAGAGGCTCTCACTACCTAAAAGTGGCATGATTTGAGGTTCAAAGAAGAACATTTTAAATGATTAAACCTCATCCAAAGTGTTTACCTGTAAGTTTATAATTACATGTATATTAATTGGACACCTTTGGAGGATAAGAGAAAACCAATTCGTTATCTTGAAAACTAGTAAATAATCAAAATTTTATCCTGCCACTCAGTAACCACATGGTATATGAGAGACAGCATTTCTTTATAAGTGTACTCAAAGTAATAAATGAAAATAAAACGCAGAATTAGAAAACCCCTGCATGCAGGAACTAATAAATCAAGGCATCCATTCCGTAACAGCTAAGAAGGGCATCAGCGGCCAAGACCTCAACACCACAATCAGACGCCAGGCTCATCCTGATGGAAGATCTCAACCCCGACTGCAGTCTTTCCCAACGGGCTGAACCGTAGCCCAATCAGCCCCTGCATCCACCTGCCCACTGGCAAGTCACACCAGCACAGTGCTCCAGGGCAGTCCGCACAGCAACAGAGCTTCAGCCGGTTACACGACACCTCTGCCGAGGCCTGAACTGCCCAGCCACCCTCAGAGCTGGAGGGAGCCATGTGACTGAATCCCAGGCAAAGGAATGGTGAGTGCCCGCTGTGTCTGAAGGCCCATTTGCTGACTTCCCCTCCTGCAAACTGGGACATGGGAGGGCCTGAATCAATACCCTGTGGACACAGGCTGGCAGCCCCCCTCTCCTGCAGACTGGCCTCAGCAGGAATCCAGTCTATAACATTGGGTGGCTTAATTATTTTTCCTTTCTACTCAACGTCCTAGATTCCTCGTATGATTGGGGCCATGGCCTGGACCCTAGAACCTAACCTTTGTGCTCCAATCCTTGATGACATCCTTTCTTAAAACTCCAAGGAACCAGCAAGAACCAGAAAATACACAACCTGCCGTCTCCTCCTGACGTGCAGCGTGGCGGCTTCTCACCCTGCAGCACTGCTTCCGCAGAGACAAGCCTCTGGGGGCCCTGATCTCGGCGGACCACCAACTCGCCTCAGGGCCCCAATCTGCTTAACATTTAATGAGGCACTCAGGAAAAAAATAAGGGTATTTTAGATAATTTTACTTCTACAAAATTACCGGAAGAAAATAGAGAAGTACCAAAATATCTCTCTAGAAATATATTCGCTGCAGTGAGATTTATTAACACAATGAAAGACCAGCAGTAGGGAGTTGGTTACATAAATCGCAGCCCACGTATCCACAGGAGACTGACTACTCAGATGTCATTAGTTTTAAACAACAGTAATATTAAAAAACATCCATCGTGTAATAATAACTAAGAAAATCAGGGTTCAAAATCTATATGATACAGTTTATATATAAATGTGTAAGAGTTATAGGTTCAGATGTAAAAAGCAGAAATGAGTAGATCGATAATATTAACAGTAGGCATTATTTTCTCAAATATTCTACAATTTATATGTATTAATATTAACTGCAAAATTAATGCTAATAAGAAAATGCAAGGAAAAGCCAACTCCTTAAAGAAAACAGGGTCTATGTGTATAAGGTTACAGTTGCTGTAGGCTTACTTGTACTGTGGGAGAAGGAATATCACCGTGTAAAAATATACTCATTGTTTCGTAATTACTCAAAATGCTAATTACTATGCCACAGGCACGAGAAAAAGCACAATATACTCTGGAGACACGGTATCTATGATTTACTTTGTCCTTCCCAAAATATGAATCGGTCAGGACAAATACCACCCAAAAGGCCCCTGCATCTCCCTCCTCCTCAACACCACAGAAAAAGTGCACACCTGCCCTGACAGGGTCCCGCCCTCCCACGTGCTCGTCGGAAGGGCTCTCAGCTGGCCACTCCATCTGACGCTTTCATTCTGCATAAGCATTAACAGGGGACAGTTTCTTCTTCGGGGACAGAAGCGCAGGCTGACTCATTAGAAACAGCACTGAGTCAAGGAGTCTACCCCAGAATAAACTCCACGGCTTGTGACAGAGCTGACTTCTCCGGGCCTCAGTTTCCTCACTTGTAAAATAAAGGCAGCAGATGATAAAATCTAACGTCCCCTCTTTTCTAACATTCTAAGAATCATCGTGAAAAGAACAAAAGCTAGGTGAGGGTGGCTAATTCCATACATACACACTAAAAAATGTAACTCTGTTTTTTAAGTCACGATTGTGACTTCCCATGGAAGTAACGTTGCTACAACATGAAATACTAATAAATGTATATAAGGAAACTAATACCATACAGACATGATCTCATCAGAGTTTATACCCCTCTTATTCTTTTAATTACCTTTTATGGCATCCTAGACCAAAGCTCTGGCCGTCGTAACGTAATTTACTATATTAAATATTGAGGTTTATGACCCTGATATTCTATCAAACTCCTCCTAAAGGTTCTCATAATTCCTTATTTTGTGAAAAAGAAAAAAAAGGAAGGAAGAAAGAAAAAAAGACATGAAAAAATTAAGCTGTAGATAGGTTCATGATCTTTGGGAAAGAAAGTAAAAGTTCTAAAAATAGGATAATAGGGAAATATGAAAGACACAATATAGGAGAGCTTCCATTTTTACAGCTCTCTCAAGTGTCAGCTCAGAATAAACACATTTCATAAAATGTGGCACATGGATACACTGAAGGAGATAATCTGCTTCCCATTACGTTGAAATATTATAGAACAGAACTGAGAAATCTGAGGGATGTTATTCTTCCTAGATCAAAAGGGTTTAAAGGTCTCCTTTGACAAAAAGAACAAAGCTTCATTACAATAACAACAAATATATTTTTATTGGAAATCCAAAAAATGTTTTTTATAGAGAAATCCAATATCATGCTCAAGAGGCGTATTTCTCTGGAGCCAAAAGTTGACCTTCAGGGGCGGGGTGGAGGCCTAGGTACCAGGCAGGTGAGAAAACGATGCTGGGGTTTCCACACTGCGGTTGGAAAACCGCCGTCTCTCAACGCCATTCTGCGCGTCCTCGACCTACTCTGTGTCAAGGGCTTGTGACACGTGCTTCAGTTAAACAGGCAGGGGTCCCTGGGTGTCAGAGTTTTACTCAGAATATGACCAAAAGCACCTGTAGTGAACAGGTATTCTGATTGACACCACTCCTCCGTAAAACTATTCCAGTGGGTGATCCCCCAGCCAGTCCAGAGAAAAGCCGGTGTGCACCAATTTGCTGGATGGCATAGCCACATCGAATAAAGCATCCACATATATTATCCAAACACTATTCAAAAATGAAAGCACCATGTGCCAAGCTTAGTTCTCTTGTGCTTAACGGAACACATTTAGAGACTCGTAACACTGCGCATTCCTGGTCAGAGAGCGCAAACTGAAGACGCCGCTCACACCACAGTGTGTGTCTGTGTTTCCCGGGCACATGTACGAATGCAAAATGCACAAGCAGGTGCTGAATAAATGCTTCAAAAATAAAATAAAAACTCTGAGAGTTCCGTTATATGTAAATAAGATTGCACATTTCTTCAAACAGTAAATTTGAAAAACATATTGCCTGAAACATAATGCCTTCTGTTGAAACAATGCTCTTTGTGACGGCATCATTTTGAAAAATCAAACACATATGGCAATGACAACTTTGCAAACTTTATAGGCTATTTTAATTATACACAAGATTTAACTCTGCTAAGTCTCTTTCTCCAGGTGTGGGACACACTTACGTTTTCGTATATTACAATCTATGTATTGTATTGCTGGAGACGACAGATGAGAAAAATGAAGCTAATGAAATACTATGAAACCGACACCATGAAAAGAGAAAAGGCCATCTTCTGATAAGGACGATGGCCCACCATCTGTCCCCCTGCCAGTCGGTGACAATTATAAATATTCCATCAGTCTTCTGATGGGTGAAGGTGATAAACGACGTAAAGACTACTTCTGCAGATTCTGATGCTCCTTCCTGATCTAATCTGAGGTCTAACAGATGACTCAAGGCGAGGCTCAGGGCACACGCTGACTAATTGATCACGCTCTGAAGACGGAAAGGGGTCTAAGCTCCACATTGTGACAGGGACAGTCCAGCTGTGCTGAGGCAGGCCTTGCAACCCAAGGTGTCTCCTTGGGATGCTCAGACAGCAAATACAGCAAGTGGCAGAACCATCCGGCTGCATCCTGAGAAATCATCTCAGTAACATTTCAGTAACAACAGCAGCACAGGTCACAAATGGCATCAGCCTTTCAACACAAGACGGAAGGAACAACAGCGCTCAGAAACCATCGGACTCCTCCGCTCAGAGTGGCTTTAATGGCCCTGGGGACAAGGGCTTGGGGGTCTCGGTGGCTGCACATCATGCTCGATGGCACCGAAACCAACACTCCCTTTCAGTCTATCAACTTTTCACTGTTTAGGAAAAGGTTATACCTAAAAGTACGAAAGCACAGTAAATATGACACAAATACAAACTAAGTGTAACAT